TTTCTCGTCTCCTCGACCCCGCCATGGCGGCTATCACCAAGCACAAAGCTGAAGCGATCAAGCTCGCTCGTGAGCAGAGCTCTGCAGTCCAAGAGATGTGCCGGAGAGCGAAATCGGATGTTCCTGCTTACGAGTTCGAGGAGCTGATTGGCAAAGGCTCATATGGTCGAGTTTACAAAGGCCACCAGCTTCCCTCCCGCAAGCTCGTCGCGATCAAGGTTTTGGACATCGACTCAATCGACTACAAATCTCTGCGGGACTTTCGAGACGAATCAATCAACGATTTCATCCGTGAAACGAAAGTGATGAAGCAGGTCAAAGAATCTGGCGCGAAGAACATTAACGAACTCATCGAGGCTATCTCTATTCATTCGCAGCTGTGGCTGGTTTGCGAATATTGCCCTGGTGGCAGTGTTAGAACCCTGGTAAGTTTTCGTTATTTTTACTCGGTCTGATATTCCAACATCAGCACTTTATCTCGTCTCTCTTCCACATTTCCTAGCATTCTTTGCAACTGATCACTGACGATTTCTCCTCTTAGATGCGAGCCACTAACGACCGCTTGGAAGAAAAATTCATTATCCCTATTGCACGTGAACTTGCCGCTGGTCTCCGTGCCATCCACAATGCTGGCATCATACATCGAGACATCAAAGGTATCTGATCACTTGGACTAAGCCCCCTCTTTGAGAAATTCTACTGACATTCTTTTTCTAGCCGCAAACGTCTTGATTCACGAAGAAGGAAAACTCCAGATCTGCGACTTTGGTGTTGCTGGCGTCCTTCAGTCTCAGTTGGACAAACGCTCGACCTGGATCGGAACCCCTCATTGGATGCCACCAGAGATGTTCTCGACCCGCGGCGAAGCTCACCAGTACGGAAGTGAGGTAAGTGACACGTACTCCGCATAGACATTATCGTTGTTGACTGGTCTAGATCGATGTTTGGGCGTACGGATGCACGATTTTTGAAATTGCTACGGGCAATCCTCCCAATTCGAATCTCCGAGAACGCATGCAGATCGGGAGACAGCTGAACCGCAGCACCCCCAAACTAGACAATTCTAAATACAGTGACGGCCTGAAGAGTCTCGTCTCCTTTGCCCTGGAATCGAATCCGGTCTCTCGACCTGCAATGGCAGATATTCTGACCCACCCCTACATCGCCGATACCGAGGAAACCCACCCTACTTCGTCCCTGAGTGAGCTTGTCCGCATGTACTACCAGTGGTCTCAGCGGGGTGGACAACGTATCTCTCTGTTTCATCCTGGCGGTGCAGCCGCTGCAGAGATGCCAGATACCGAGCCTAGTGACGAGGACTGGAATTTCAGTACCACTGATGGTTTTGAGCGTCGCTTCTCTGTCATCGATCTCGATCAGCTGGCGGCCTCTATCGCTGAATTGGAGGCAGAAATCAGCCCGACCACGAAACCTCAATCCATGCCAGACATCCCTGATGAACCGAGCGATCAGGAAATGACAATTGAAGACAAAGCGAACTTCGATGAGCGGGTTCGTCGTGGTGCCGAAGCCATGGAAGGTCTTTTCAATGAAGAAAAGCCAAGCTATACTTATGAGACAAAGAATGACTTCGTTCCTATTGAACCCAAACCCCCCGCATCCGACCTCCCCCTGCGCACAGAGACCGATCGCTCTTCCGTTACCTCTACCTTCATCGACATCGACATCGGATCCTTTGACTCGTCGCATTATGCGGCTGGAGCGTCATCTGCGCAGCCCTTCCAGCTCGCAGACGCCGATACCATTCGCGCCAATAGATCCAGCGGTCGTCAACAGCGCAACTCCACCGATGGTCGCTCTCGATCTTCCAGTAGCGGCGTGAGCAGCACTCGTGACGCTGACGATGTGCCATTCCAGCCATCAACCGGCCCACGACCTCCGACCATGGATTGGAAGTTCCCTGTTTTCATGCAACCTGCGACAGAAGAGGAGCCTGAGCCCGCGCCCGCGCCCGCGCCCGAGCCCGCGCAGGCGCCGAAGCCAGCTGAGCTAGACACCTCAGAGAAGCGCGCTACAATGGAGTGGACATTCCCAGTCATGACTGCTCCAGCCGACGATGAGCCCATGAGCCACGAAGGTGACGCCGACGTGAGTCGCAACAACACTCTGAAAGCGCCCATCATGAGTCTGCAAACCTCGGACACCATTCGACGCTCGAGCATCGGGGAGCCCGGTGATTCCCGGCCTTCCACCTCGCGATCCATTGATTCCAACGTGTCTGCGAGCTCCGAAACCGATTATGATCCATTCCGCTTCGACCGTCCGTCCACCCCGCCTGGCGCTCCAGCTGCTGCGGAGCCGAAGACGTTTGACGAGTCGGACTTCCCCACAATGTCATTCGACGAAGACGAAGAAACGGATGTCCTTGATGGCCCGGGACCCGATGAAGAAGAAGAATCGACTTCTGCCTGGCATGAAAATCCCGAGCAACAGCACTCGCACTCGGAGCCATTCCCCACCGCCATCCCCGTCAAAGACCTCGAGCTCGCCCCCTTCCCCTCTACCACGGACTCCCCCACCTCCGAGCCGCTCCCCACCGCCAGACGCAACCTCCCCATCCTATCCACCGAAGACACCGAGCCCGTTCGTTTCCCGGACGTTCCTCTCCCCCGCCTTGATGCCCTGACGGAAGGTGTCGGTGACCACGCCATCAAAGAGGAACTGGACCGAATGCTCGATGGCTTCCTGCATGCTCTCAACGCCACCGGACGTGCAATCTCCCAGACCACGGTGGGACCGGAGGCGGAGGTCAATTCCGACATGGTCTCGACCCCGGAACATTCTGAGTGAGGGACATTATCTTTCAGACAGCGACCGCCCGCGAGACACGACGAGACATAACCCCGAGACCCAAGACCGAATTTTCTTTATCTCTCCCTTACTTGAAGTTACGAAAATAAAATCAACAGGTGGTGCATTGGAGAAAAAACGTTTTTTTGGAACCGTATGCCGAAAATTCGGGTATGCTGGCTCATGCATGTATTTGACGCGACGGACTGAGAATGATGGAACTCATGAATTTCACGAACGAATAATCTTGCATTTACGGGCCTGTACTTATAGAGAGAATGCAATTCACACGTGATAGCCAAATCTAGATTCCCTGCTGGTATAATTGAGAGTGTAAGATCTCGATTTGAGTAGAGGGGGTGCCTGGCTTGGCAGTAAGAGGGTATGTAAGCTCTTGTTGATCTGACTTTATAAGAGAGTGCGAGCGAGATCTTGATTATTCTGAAATAAAGTGATTGTAAAAAGTCGGTGCTATCCAAAATGTGGCGCTGTTTCAACATCATAGGGCTGATTTTCTGTGCCTAGTGTGTGTGGATGGCGAAGACTCGGACTGGGTTTCCCGAGCCAAAAGAAAAACGAAAACCATCAGTAACGTAGTAACCAACAGAATCATTAGACACTTGTTTTCCTCAAGGCTGCTCCAAGAGCCTCACCACAGGCCGTGATAATATCCTGCTGCGCGGTGATCCAGTCAATCGTGCAACGCTCCAACTGCTTGACCTTGGCCACAGCGTCCAAGTCGCCCAGAAATTCCTAGTCCTTTGTTTTCGAGTCCTTCGGTTTCAAGCCTTATGTCTCCCTCGCCACATTCAATCACCAATACTTCCTGTTCTGGGCCCTCTGGAGCAAAGGCGTCTACGAGAGAGCGGAAAAGCCCATGGGTACTTTCGTTATTGGTGTTGGTGGCAATGGAGGGCGAAACTCATCATTGCTTCTTCGAAGAAAAGTCCGGACTGGGCTGGGCGACAGCCGCAATTGGCTGCCGTTCCGGTCCCAATGCCGAGAAGAATAGCAGGCCGTCTCGCGCGTGGGGAAGCCGGCCAAATACACCAAGGACTTTTCGGTCCAGAGCCTACGAAAGGAAAGAAGTAAATCAGTCATGTCATCATGGTTTGGTATCGGGGACTCCCCGAACAGTCACGTCAGATCCTTACCATCTATCCATGGGGATCATTAGCCAACAGCCCCCCCCCCCCCCCCGTCAACCAGTTTCACGCTGCCTGCCCACCTGCAGAGGCTCGAAGTACGCATAAATCGATGTTGGCCGGGTCCTTATCAGGCACATCTAGGTCTTTGGAAGAAGTGGTTCAATTTTCATTCTCCGGTTTCGGTGCGTGGAACTAGATATCGGCCCTCGGGGAAGGGCAAGATGTCGTCGAATGCTAACTCCTGAGAGTCGAGAGACCTGTGAATGGGAGGGTTCAAGAGTGCTATTTTAAAATTTGAAGGGTAGTGCAGCTAGCAGAATCCATGATACCGACTGATTGGGTCTGCTTGTGAGTTTCAAGCGGCATCTCGTAGTTGACTCCATTGTGTATTGAGTCGTCGATCACTTGAGATCGGTGATTCCAGTTCTGATGACATTAGTCATAAGTCATTCCCCGGAAGCGTGCTTGAGTGTGATTGCGACGGATGGGTGGCTGAGATGAGGTGCACGGCCCACGGGTGAGACGGGCTTTGGACACATACTTTGTTCTGAGGGTTAATGTATGGTTGGTTCTATTACCAGCACCAGATTGACCTCCAGCTCAGCTGTGATATGCTGTATCTGTAAGGGGATTAGCCTGGTCAAAAAGCAGACGCAGCGGCCAATTGAGTGGTAGCATAAAGATGCTGCGGCTGAGATTACCTTACCTATTTAAAGTAAGATGGGCTGGGTCTCGGCATTCTTGATATGAGATTGGACGGAACTGGTCCACTGAAGTCCTTTAGTTGAATGTTTTGCAGTCAGTAATTTGACGTGAGGTCTTGTCTTTCTTGTCTTTGTCTAGCGCCATGCAGTCAGACTCACTAAAGTACCTAAAGTAACCCGCTCGGCCCACGGCAAAATGGCGAGGTCGGCGCCGCTGAATCCGTCACCACCCCGTCTCTCTCACGCTCAATTGTTCTCAAGAATTCGAAGTCAACAATCTTTCTGTCAATGCATCCTTGCTTCATGAACACAAGCGACCCTCGTTGGCTATCATACTATGAGTGCTGGGAACGACAAACCCCTGGAAGGGGCCCCCGGGCTTCTTTCTACCTGGTGGGGTCAATTCCGTTATACGACTATTCCGTTATTATCAAACAACACACAGCAACAAAAGCAGCCACGATGGAAGACCTGGCTCCCTCACGGTCTTTCACAAGACCCCAATGAAGGACAAGAAGGACGAGAGTGGCTCAAGGGAGCCGTCATCTGCTCCTTGATCACTGCGACAATCCTGGCCGTCAATTCCATCATGTTGATTGTGGCACTCATCTTCGCCTATCGCCAGTCGAGCAACCACGGTCAATTTCAGATGGTCGAGCTCTTCACGGGGAATTGCTCCCTGGCAAATCGCTCCGCGACGGGCATACATGTAGTGATCAACGTCTTGGGAACGATTTTACTTGGGGCCAGCAGCTACGTTATGCAGTGCCTAGGTGCGCCCTCTCGCTCGGATATCGACCGGGCCCACGCGCGCTCGCGCTGGCTGAATATAGGGACCTTTAGTTTTCGCAATTTTGCGATAATGAGTCCCAAACGAAAAGTTCTGTGGGGGCTACTGCTGCTCAGTTCCACTCCGATCCATGTGATTTACAACTCGGTCATCTACTCATCCATTGCGAAGCTCGACTCCGGGTCGCTCTTGATCCCGCACGACCTCTCGTCGAACGAGTCTTTGGTCAACGATGTGGCGAGCCGCGAGAGATTCCGGGCCAGAATTGGCCTCGATCCGGCGATTGTGCAACAGCGGATCTTCGATGGAACTTTCACCAATTTGACAGACAAGGATTGTTGGGCCAAGCGGGCCGATGAGACTTTATACAGTACACTTGTCTATGTCGTTGACAGGAAGTACTTTCACAATACGAGCAGTCTGTGGGTAGACGGGGGACAGAACCCTTCCTCCGAGAACTACTACCCTGTGGAACCAGTCTACTGGAGCTATCGCGTGTGGAACTACACAACTGTCGCGAGCGGGCATCCATACCAGTTCAACTTTGCCGATGATTCTTTCCAAAGGCTGTGGAACCCCTACGACAAAACTAACGCAAGCACTGCGTTGCAGGCTGACGTGATGGGTCTGCTAAGTTACAATTCGCAATACAATCCGACTCAGGAGGCTCTGCGCGAGTACTTAGACACCCCCTCACACTGGCAGAATAGCTCCTGGGCAGCCGCAACGACATTCGAGTTCTTCGAAGAAGGCGACTTGGAGCTTGGAATATATCCACAGGTCCCTGTTTCGCACTGTCTTATGGATGAAAGCCGACAGCGCTGTCAGCTGCTCTTCAGCCCACCGATTGCAATCGTTGTCATAATCTGTAATGCGATCAAACTGAGCTGCATGATGATAGCAGTCGGAGCCAGGCGTAGAGATCTACTTTTGACTACAGGCGATGCGCTGGCCTCGTTCCTCACCCGACCTGATCCAACAACTCGGGGTCGATGCTTGCTCTCTCGCGCAGAGGTGGCTCAAGGACTGCAATACTGGGGCTGCTCTGCACTCACTCCTGGTCATGAGAAAGGGTACTGGGTGCAAGCACAGAGCTCAAGCCGTAGCTCCAGCCCAACTCCTAGTCTAGGTCTCGGGCAGAGCCCAGGATCCTTGAATTACCCGATAGACAACATATTAATATCACCATCCGCGCCGCAGACAAGCACTGAACTTCGCCCAAGAGAGGTTACTCCGCGACAGAGATGGTTTCAAGCTGTCGGCTGGCCTCGCAGGGTAATAGCCTTATTCTGGTTAGTCGTTGTCAACCCCGACGAACCCTCCCCTACAGAAGCCCCATCTACACCTGTCAATCCCACTAACCCAGCTCCTAGCTACATATCATGCATCGCAGTGAGCTTTGCCCTTCTCTTCCACGGCATCGGTTCCGATACCTTCCACGAGGCCATGTCCATCGGCTTCAGCAAGTACTCGGAATCCTATCTAGCCAACACGAACACCACAAACATCCTCGCCCTTGTACTGTTAGCCAATACTCCCCAGCTCGGCTTGTCCATCCTATACTTTGTGACCAACGGCGTCTTGACCTGCATGCTCCTTGACGCTGAGCTCCAGCGGTACGCCACGCGACGCCGCTCACTCCGCTGTTCCTGGCCCAAGGGCCAACAACGATCGACCTACTACCTGACTCTGCCTTACCGGTACAGCCTCCCGCTGCTGACGGCATCCGCTTCGCTTCACTGGCTTCTATCCCAGAGCTTCTTTTTTGTTCACATCCGGCGGGTCGATATCTCCCAGCGATACGTAGTGGATGAGGCGCGGGGATGCTGCTACTCCCCGTTAGCGATTTTCATCACGATCTGGGTCGCTGTTGCGGGGCTCTTGGTGGTTGTAGGGCTCGGGTTCCGGCGGTTCGAGAGCGGGATGCCGCTAGCCGGGGGCTGTAGTATGGTTTTGTCCGCACTGTGCCATCCACCGGAGGATGATGAGGGCGCGGCCGAAAAGACGGTGATGTGGGGTGAGATTCCAAAAGGGCCTGAGCTAGGTCCTACACAGAATGACAAGAGGAGAGTCGAAGAGAGGTTTATGGAGGGTACGGGGGCGACGGGGGCTGCCACTGCCGCCCGGGATGGAACGATGGAAGGATATGCACACTGTTCATTTAGTTCCTTGGAAGTGACGGCGCCAGGGCTGGATCGGTTATATGCTTGATTGGCTTGCGCTGTACCCCTTGTCTGTATCCTGGATGTACGTACTAGGGCAAGGCTGCCTTCCTTTATCTGCTGTTGCAAGCCTTATAGAAGAATACTCCCGGGAAGAGCTGCAAGATGCTGGGTGTTAGTTAATGGGTTTAGGGTCTTCTTGAGAAGTCTCACTCGGTAGAACAAAAGAGAAAGGGAATTCAAGCAGCCCGACACAGCCGCCTATCCATCTGCTCGACCCACGCCTCGCTCCCCACCGCCGTGCGGCCGTTGAAGATCCCGTCGGGATCGTAATTCTCCTTGACGGCGCGGAGGCGAGCGTACGGCGCCCCGTAGAACGCCGCCTGCCAATGCGGAGTGTTCAAGTCCGCTTCGTTGAGGTAGGCCATCTATACTACTATTCAATAGCACTAGGCTCGAGGTGAATTGATCTTTCCCCTTCTCAAACACACGGTTGTCTGTTTTCCGGCGGGATATTCCGTAACCTGCCGGGGAATGCTGGCTCAGCGCCTCACAGTGGAGGGCTTCCAGTCAGACACTCACTGTCGATATACTCTTAATAAATCTGGGCCTGTAGATCAAGAATGCAGAAAGGCCCCGCTTGGTTTATTACAAACTGACGGCACCGTCATGCTCTGGGCGCCTAGACTCCATGTTCCGTGGAATTAGGGCTGTGGTTCCGACGGAGTTTCCGCTGACAAAAAGCCGCTTTGCTTAGTTAGTCACAACACGACCCTTGTATAGGTGTAGCATTCTTGGCTTTTGCCTTGCATCTTACCAGTAGGTCAGTTTCCTCAATGATGAAATTTCGCCATCGCGGGATTAACAATCACAAAGATGAGATGAGTTCGGAAGCCGAGATGCGTCAGCATCCCTGGAGGTGTCATCCGACCAGAAGAATCCCTACGAAGATTACGAGAGTACGGAGCAGGTAAACTACAAAAAGTCATTTGGACTTATATATATGCGTCGTGGGAGTCTTCGAGTTTTATTCCTCCCTCTCTACCATTCCCAACAGTTGTCTTCTCCCAGATCCACTGCAAGTTACGATTGCGTTGTGCTCCACTTTGAGTTGCATTCTCACCCGCCGACATCACCACCTGAGCATTTTTTCTAGTCAGAAAGCTGAAATATGGGAATCAAGACGGGTATCACCCTATATACCGAGGGCACTCCTAACGGCCTGAAACCCACCATTCTACTAGCTGAGCTGGGTTTGGAATACAAGGTACAGTGCCTCAAAATTTGAATCTATTAACGTTCAATCCAAAGAGACAGTGTCATCTAACCTCCGCAAAAGCTTCACCCAATCAACATCCCCAAGCACGAGCAAAAGGAGCCATGGTTTCTCGAGATCAACCCCAATGGTCGGATCCCTGCCCTAGTCGACGAGGACGAGAATGGCAACAAGATTACGCTTTTCGAGAGCGGCAGCATGCTGCTGTATCTTGTGGCCCGGTACGACAAAGACCACAAGGTCTCATACCCCTATGACTCTCCCGAGTACTGGGAGACCGTCAACTGGGTCAGTGTTGCAAATCCCGCGTTCCGCCGCCACAACGAATTTTATCGTTCTAAAACTGACAGCCCCCATAGCTGATGTGGCAGATGGGAGGCGTGGGCCCGATGCAAGGCCAAGCCAACCACTTCGCGAGTAAGACAAGACAAATGCTTGCATTTGATCATAGGAGACGTGCCTAACCTGGTTGGTTGTCTAGGAATGGCACCCGAGAAGCACGAGTACGCCATCGGCCGCTACGTGAACGAAACCCGCCGCTTGTATCGCGTTCTGGATGGCCACCTGGCCAAAAGTCAATCCGGCTACGTGGTCGGTGACCGGGTCACGGTGGCGGATATCGCTCTGTGGAACTGGGTGGCTGCTTACAGTACGTGGATGCGCTTCCCCCCCCCTTCGAAAACAAAACACTGACAGTCGGGCAGAATATAGTGGCCTGTCCAGCATCGACGAGTTTCCGCATGTTCAGAAATGGCTCTTCGAGTTGTTGAAGCGGCCCGGCTTTGAGGAGGGGCGGAATGCCCCCGGGCCGCATATTTATCTGGAGCTCAATAAGCTGTCGGATGAGGATTTGAATGCAAAGGGCCGCGCTGCTGGGGCTTGGATTCAGGAGGGCATGAAGCGGGACGCGGAGGTCTGATTGCGGACTTGGTTCAGGCTGATTTGGACTCTTTGGGCTGGGGTGTCGTATGTGTGGCGGGTTCATAGCATTCCTCTCAGCCTGAGAGGCCAAGTATCCGTCGTGTGTGTGCGAGATGTCCTTTTAGCGCTGCTCTTCCATTATCCTTCGTTTCTCGTGGTTTCTTTCTACGTTTGGAAGGGCAGTGATCTATTGAGACTTGACCTTATTAGTTGTTCTAATTGAAATAAGGAGACTCTTGATTTGTGACGACTCAAAGCGAGCTACTCTATTCGCCATTCTCAATCCCCGGCTGTTAAGAAACCGCCGAATAGAGCTGGATAGGCTTCTTGTCACCCAAGCCCGAGCTTTGAGTTAGCTCCGAAAAAATTATTTGATTGTGGTATGGCGTGTCAACAACGCTAGTGCGCAGTCGAGAGTATATCGCCGCCCGGGAGAGACTGCAGGTAGGTTCGACTATCATCCATAGATTACCTCTACTTCTATAGCCTATAGCGAATGGCGAGTGGGATCGTCACTTGCACATGTAACAAGATGCTCAAACTACTATCTGGAACGACCTTTGCTCGATACCTTGTTATTTGTCAACATCTGAAAGATCCATTCATGAGACTTTAAAGAAGAGGCGAGGCTAGTGCCACGGACGATGATCGGTGATCTGGTGCTGGGTCGTTCAAGGGCATGCCCATGGCTCGTCTATATAATTGGTATGTTGGGGAGAGCTTTTGCAAGGAGTGAAAGAAGAAGAAAATTACATCGTTTTCACCTGATTACAACGAAAACTGTCTCTATGGGCTGCGATAAGCTGATCAGCCTTTGCTCATTTAGTCGATGAAGAAACAATAGCTCCGCGAGGAACGCAACTTTTTGAAATTACGCCACGATATCCTGGGCTTACTCTAGTTCTGGCCGAATCCTAACATATCTCTAGCCGAATCTTGGCTACTGTGGTCGGCAACAATGTCCAGCAAATAGTACAGGTTTAACCTAATCCCGTCGAGCAGTTGTTCAGGCGTGAACGCAACTTGATTGAGTGAACTCCCAGATTCAGATAAGCCTGTATTCCTCTTTTTAAATCCCTCATGCTGGACCCGTCCAGCCACTACGGTGCAGCCATTCCTCAAAAGAGGATGCCTTTAACCCCAATTCCTCAAAGGAGCGGTCCTCATGCTCAGCGAAGGCCCCGTAACAGATCTTGTCCGCTGGAAGTATGGCAGCCCATTCCATCATCTCGGTGGCATCCTTCTTAAAGGCCGGCCCAACGAACGGAGCTGTCTTCTCTCCGAATTCCTCTGCGGTTATTGGATCATGAATTGCGGGCTGACCAGTGACCTTTGTGAACGTCTCTATCATCTCAACAGGAGTGACTCGAGAGCTTAGCACAAGGTACGTCTTATCGCGGGTTTTCTCGGCGCCCAGCTCGAACACCCCTGCCCGAACAAGTTAGCAGTTCAGCCGTACTTCAATGCGCCCCTGGAGTTCGACACTATGTATATTTGGGGATAGAAACTTACTGGATGCAAATATACCCATGTCATGGATCGGATCAGTCCACTGCGCGACCTGGCCGCTGGGAATAGGGATGCGAAACCGAACAACACCGTCCGCTATGCGATTATCACATTAACCCAAATCTGCACCGAGAACTGAATTTTTCAAGCTGAACTTACATTGACGGTCACAGTAGTGAGGCCAATACAGATTGGTATAAAAGAACCCTATGCAACAAATCAATTGTCAGTGAAAGGTGTGCAGCTGTGCACCCTCACAGCAATTGCTGCAGCAGAATCACGAACCCGGGATGAGACAAGTCACCGCGCCGAGCCTTTGCTTGGCGAATTTCTCGACTTCATGCTTGTTGTTCATGTGATGGATATTCGGGTATCGACATTCGGTTGCGCGGACCATATCCGGCAAGCTACTGAAGACGAAGTGCTTGACACCACATTCCTCCGCTGCCAGGACAATACGACGACCTGCCTCAACCTCATGTTTCAGGTCCTCTTCTTTGTCCAGGATTCTGCCAGCTTGGGTCTCGGAGGTCATGGCAAACACGCCGTATGCGCCTGCAAAGGCGGCTTGGAGGGACGCCTGGTCGTCGACGCGCCCGGGGACGAGCGAGAGGCGTTGGTCGATGGTCTGGTGCTTGGCCAGGAATTCCATCGCTTTTGTCGAATTGGGATCTCGGGTGATCCCTCGGACGCGCCAAAGACCTTCGTCTGGTGTCCGGGAGCCCAGCAGGGCACGAACGATCCCTCCTCCTTGGTTGCCTGTGGCCCCCATGACCACTATAATGCCGGAGGTGTCGGGGACAGACATTTTTTTCGAGCGTGCAATGGCGTCTGATACACGAATGACAGGTACGAAGATAAGAAATGAATGATGAATGAGTCGGAGAGGAGTTCAGGTGTATGGGTAGAAGTGAATTGGAATGCACTCCGGAATATACATAGTGATTGTCGCATTCGTCGGGTTTTTGTACTTGTTCTCTCAGTTGAGATGTACCCAGTAGGATACCGGCAGGTTCCACGGAACCAGGATTCCCCGCATCTAAGACTAAGGAAATCAAGTTGGAACACAGAAGTATTCTCAAGGCTACGAGTGATGGCCCTGGGTGGGAAGAAGTTGTTACTATCTGGGTTGACTTACCAATCCGCAGAATTAGTCAGCTGGCCGCCTGCTTCCGCGGAAGCAGCTGAGTTAATGAGGGTACTTAAATTACCAAGCAGCGGCTCCAAGCAGCAGCTCCATGGAGGTGTATATCTCCTGAGTAGCCAATTCCGACAAGCTACAATGGACTCCAGTAATCGTCCAAGAAAGGTCGGGACTAGCTCGGAAGCCAGTGTTTTGCCCCGAAAAAACATCATTTAACTGTATTTCGAGCAGGCATGCGACCTATGTTATACTCGCAAGATCAAGTGCGACGGGCAGGAGCCCCGCTGCTCCAACTGCATCAACTATGCAACCGAATGTACACACATTGCTCTGCGCCGTAAAGCGAGACCGAGAGCACAACGTCGCGCCACGCAGAATTTCCCATCTCAGCCAAAGGCCCAATGTCGGGCCATTCATCAAGCCGAGCGGCTCAGGGCGATCACAGGAGAAGCACTGGTTGACGATCAATCGCCCAAGGATCCGAACCATGCAATTGACACCATGAAGCTTCCTCCACTGCCAGAGGCTATGGCAATGGTTGGAATCTTTCTCAACACAGTTAACACGGCTCTACCGCTTTTCCATGCCGACACGCTCTTGCGGATGGTTGGGCAGTGTTATGCCCTCCACCCGCGACAACGCGATCCACTCGTCTGGGCTGCTATCAATACCGTCTTCGCTCTGGCCAGCCAACATAGGCCCAGTAGCACGATTGAAGGTGTCTTCCATCGTCAGACTGAGCACACTAATGAATATCTCAGCAACGCACAGTCGGTTGTCTCAGCGGTGATGACGGGAGATGTTTCCCTGTTGAATGTACAGACACTTCTAGGCATGGTGATGGTGCTCCAGACGGCGCGTGACCCGACTCCAGCTTTGACGTTGCTATCCGCCACAATGCGCCTTGTACACAAGTTGGGCCTACACAACCGTGCTGCATCAGCGCATCTTGACCTTGTGCACAGGAGACAACACGCTCGCGTTTTCTGGATCGCATACATTCTCGACAAAGATCTCAGCCTGCGGGCGGAAATCCCCCCCGTGCAGCTCGATGACGATATCGACGTGGACCTGCCTTCTTCCTTGCCGGTGTCCCTGGATGACAATGACAACACTGCTGGCACCATTGCCACCGATGATGGGAAAGCCAAGCTGAGTTATTTCTTCGCCCGGATTCAGCTCGCCAGCATCGAGGGTCGTATCTATAGGTATCTCTACTCGACGCAAGCCTCAAAGCAGAGCCCGCTGGAAAGGACCTTGCTGCGAGATAGTATTAGTGTCGCATTAGATGAATGGAGAGCGTCCATCCCGCTCGAATTCGGCGCCGCGGTTGTCACCTTGACCGCGAGAAGCAAGCCGGCGAGTCTGGGCTTCTTCTGTGTGCTTCACTCGAGCGGGCTGCAGTGCAGGATGCTCATTAACCGAGCCCAGGCGATGGACGAGCAATGGATAAAAGGGGTCCGCAATTTTAGTCGAGGCATCGGCCCTCTCCAGATACCGCCATGCTGGGAAGGACTTGTACACGAGGCTCGAGACTTCGTGCTCTTGTTCCAGGAAATCTGGTCGCGAGACACTTGGTTCCGATGGTATCAACTCCTACTCCCTCTTCGGAAGGTGTGTACGTGGTCGCTAAAATCACTCCAGGATAACAACCTGTCCTTACATATCTGCTACAATGCTGTTGACAGCAAACAGCCTCCACAACATTCGGCATAAAAAGGTCGAACTAGACATCGAGCTGATTGATGCTGCCCTTTCTTGGCTGAATGACCTCATATTAGAGGATCCATCGGATGCTAAGAAGAGGTTTCGAGATATTCTCACCGAGGCCGCTCATAAGGTGAAGCGAAAGCTTGCTGTCAATGATAGGCTCGAGTGAGCAGGGTTCTCTAGGTATCGGTGCTAAGTTTGGCACTAGCTACCTACACAGTAACTAGTGCATAGACTACGCGAGACTAAGTTGCTTAGTGTACGATGACTTTCCTATATATATGACTGCTGACTGCATCTGTCTCCCCCTCTTCGTACTCTTCGTTTCTCTCACTTCACATTTTCCTTTCTATTCCCCGCCTCTGGGAGATATTTTCATCCTACACACGCATACACATACAATGTCCGATCAACAACCACAACCACAACCTCTCACCTGGGTCGTCACCGGCTGCTCCTCCGGCATTGGTGAGGCCTTGGTTCGCGCGATCTTGGACAAGGTGGGTCAGTACTCTTCCTCGATACGGCTATGCGGATGCTAATCAGAAGGGACACATTAAACAGGGCGACCAAGTCATCGCGACTGCCCGCCCACGCGACGGTGCCAGCGGTGGAGACCGTCTCTCGGCTCTGAAAGACGCGGGCGCTGCTGTGTTGGAGCTAGATGTAAGCAGCTCGCAAGAAGAACTCGACACTAAGGCCCGCGAGATCTGGGAAATATTTGGCAAAGTGGATGTGTTGGTCAACAACGCAGGATATATCGATGCAGGAATTTTCGAAGAAATCACGTTTGTCCCGCCTGTTCTACTTCTAAATCCGTTATGAAAAGACCTAAGACTTTATTAACCTCTTCTAGCGAGTCGTTTCTCATCAACGCCATTCGCACCAATGCCTTGGGTCCCCTCAACCTGACCCGCGCCTTTCTTCCTCTGATGCGCGCCCGGCAATCCGGAACCGTGCTCTTCTCCAGCACCGTAGGAGTCTACTACGGTGCGCCGGGGGCTTCGAGCTACACGGGTGGCAAGGGTCTGCTGGAGACCGTCGTCCCCAACCTGGCCCTCGAGCTGGCGCCCTTTGGCATCCGAACATCGCTCCTCACCTACGGCTACTTTCGCACGGAGGTTATGGCGCCCGGCAACATTCATTACCGGGCCCCCCGCCAGCTGCCGGAGTATGCGGAAATGAACCGTCTGGTGGCGGCTGGTTGCGCGGCCTCGAACCACAATCAGTCGGGCGATCCTGCGAAGGCAGCTGCAGTGGTTGTTGAGGCGGTTAAGGGGACAGGTCGATGGCGGGGCAAGCAATTGCCTTTGAGGTTGCCTATTGGGAAGGATGCTATCAGTGCCATCCGCAAGGCCTGTGAGCAGAGGTTGGCGATCTGTGCGGAGCTGGAGGGGATCGTGGATCAGACTGATTTTTAGATGTGCTCTTTCTTTCTTTTTTTTTCGACAGGATGTCAGTGAATGTATACCTATATGGTGTTTGTTAGGAGAACTTCTTTGAAATCGTCTGTCAGTGGACTTGTACATGGCCTGTCGATGTGATCTGAGTAATCCGCATGCCAAAAGGGTATGGGGCAGTAGTCTGACACGATCACAAAGATCAGTGGTAGTTATGTGCAGCATCGGACGGAGTAGGCATCTAGGACCAGATAGTTCGAGAGGGCTGAGGACTTACCGAGCTGGTAAGTGACAGGAATGCTAGCCATACGTTCGACATGCACTGTCAGATTTCGGGATGTGAGTTGGGTTGACATTCACTTCCTGATCAGGAAGGCATGGCATGCCGGAACTGCAGGCATGTGAGGCGTCATCCCCTCCTCATCCTTTCCCCATCCACCGGAAAGCTTCTACCCATCACATGAATGACCTCATCAAAGAAGGACAAAAGTTATTCTTATAATTGCACACTCTTCAGCTCACACGCCAGACACCAAAACGACACGAACGCCCCGCTTGGACGTGTCAGAGACGTGATTGTGGAGACTGCCCCATCTATACAAAGCTTACCTCAATACCCTCGCAACCACCTTTCTAGTCACCATTCAACAGCTCCTAACTCGCCTCCTTCTTCTGGTCTGACTATGGTGTCGCCCATCATGGCTGAGAAGAGCATCAACTCTCCTCCATCCAGCCCTCCCATCTATCCTCAATCACCTGAAGGATGGCAGGTTGCCCTCCGTGCCATAAAACGTCTCTACGCCCAGCGACAATACAAGCAGTGCACTGCGCGCGTCTCGGAGCTGCTCATAACCGCGCCAGAGCCAGTAAGTATCTAGCTCTCGGGAGGCGAGTCGACCAGATCCGAAATGATTACCCCGAGCGAGCCGTAGGTGTGCGTGAGTCGAGTGCTTACACCAATCCTTCCAGGTCCATCCTGTTTACCAGACGTTCCTCTATTTCTACAGCGCTATATGCTATGAGGCAATGGGCCTTTCCGCTCACAATTACTCTCGCAACAAGCTCCCATTGCTGCAGTCTGCTCTAGACTGTTTCACCAACTGCAGTGCTGTCTTGCCGAGCCCAGTCCCAACCACTGAGCGCTACTCACACATTTCTGAGGCTTTGTTTACTTCAGTCCCCTCGGATTCGTCCTCGTATTCTGACTCTCCGGGATCGAGAACTAGGCCCTCGAGCCTTGCAAGCAGCCTTGCGGACATGATCGAACGATCTCTCATCTACGGCAGCGTGGATGGGGATCCCTTTGTCTCACACGATGGCGATAATGATGACAGGCAGTTTCAAGAAGAGCTGTGCACAGGGATTCTAGCGACAAGCGCCAGTCAAAGCCACTTGATTCCCTCTCCCTTGAATGTCAGAAAACCTTCCGGGGCTTCTATTTCTAGCATATCAGGCACATGTGATGATGCACCGAAAGCAAGCAAGACCAGTGATTTACATGCTTGGACAGATCGCCCAGCAGCCAGCAGTGTCGACACAAGCAAGATTCCTCTTGCTCGTCCACCTTCCAAGGTTCCTCTCAAAGCTGCTCCACGACCCGTTCGAACCCCTTCTCCCGACCCTCGACACGGGACAAATTTTGCAGATGCCATTTCTAGCTTGGAAGAAGGGCGGAGAATTCTTCCATACCCCACAGAGTACACCAACCATATCTCAAACTACAACAGCAGTATACGCTCTCTTAGCACCCAGATCACATCGAGCATCACCACAATCCGGGCCATGATTGAGGAAGTAACCGAGATGCAGCACGCTCGCCGGGTGTCGAAGAGTATCCGACGCTCGGCATCTTTCTGGAGCTTCAGTCCTGTGAAGGAGAGTGATCGGAGTTCTTCGTCGGCCGTATCTCGTGCCAATTCTGCTGATAACAGCTCGGGACGAGTACTCGTCACAGAGAGCATGGAGCAGCGAATTGAGAGGCTACGCAGTGAAGGGTGGCAGACAGTCGGAACCAAGTCTCAGCGGCGAGGGTGGAAGGGAGAGGAGTACTACCGGGCCTACTGTTCCAGAGTCTTGGAAGAGCTATACCTGAAGGAAGTGCAGTGATCCGTTGTTTTTACTGGTTGCATAGATGTATTGGCGTTTGAGTTGCATTGAGCTTGTTTACCTCTGGCGTGTCGGTCCAGCGATCTTTTGAGGGTTGCGCTTGGCGTTGAGGATTGCATATGCATAGCATGGTCGCGTCGTTTGTACAGATAACTTAGCATTGGGGTGAGAATTGTAAGGGTAGCCGGCGCACGGGGCTGTCTATACTTTAAGGAGATGCAAAAACTTTTCTGGTTCCGATTGCATCGATGGGCTGGTTCCCAAGACCAAAAGAGAGCACTAATTAGGGCAACCAGATAGCCACTGCACCTTCAATTACATGAATCGGGAATCGATAAGTGGACACAGGATGCATTTCATGCATATCATTCATTGCTTCCTCGAGACTTCCATGCATCGACTTAGTGAAACACAGCTTTGGGGAAAACTCCTTCAACCCTAGCAGTAAAGGGCTATGGAGCTAGTGGGACGTGTCAGAGTTGTTTCACAGGGCTCCGAGCAAAAAAAGAGACGACAGATTGGCTCCAAGCCTGCACGATCCAATCAGTGCCGGGCGGATTAAACTACAGACTTTTGTGGCTGGTGATAGTCGATTTAGGTAGTGTAGTACTCATTTACAGCTCCGATTGAGATAGATCCGATTCCGAGGTGCAAGCTTGAATTTTTGTCCCCCCTTGGGGGCCAAACATCGCTGTCTGTGGTTTAGCCCAGTGTGCAGTACGAGTACGAATTGCTAAATATAGCTAGTTAGTTGACATGGCGTAAATTTTTTAGCATAGTAGTGACAATTGCTGTGGGTGTTTGTGGATTCCCACATGTCTTACTATGGACAGGACACCGACAACTTCACTTATCTGCGTAGTGTATATACCTTTCTCCTATAACATCCGTGGGCGGCACAAAATTTGGGCGAAGGGGGGGGGACCGCCTGGGGATTTAATTAAACAGGGCTGATTTAGCGTCAGGGACTGGCGGTTTCAGGTTCAGTGCGCGAGTTCGGCGGGGTGCCTGATTTGCAAGGCTGCATGTTATGACCTGGTAGTATTTCGAGTAGATTTACCTACCCTCCAATGGACTTGTATTGGCCCGATCCATTGGGCTGAGATTCAGTTCCGTTGGAAGTTGACGTCAAACACGACAATTAAGTTAAGTTGACTTGAGCAAACAATGGAAGTTTATGTACGGAGTAGTGTACGGAGTAGATACAGAGGGGAGCTCCATTAATGCGGCAGCCTTGTCGGTACACAGTACGGAGTAGAAAGTCAATGTAGCCGTGGCTGTGCTTTCCACCACCCACGGGCTAGAACTTGGGACTTTCGTACTTCCTCCCACTGCCTCCCCCACTATCCACTATCGAGGTCTCGCTGTCTCTCCCTGACTCTCACTTCTCTTTCCTTTCAAATAAAACCCTCGCTGGCCCTTATACCTCGCTCTTATTGACCTTCTCTGCCTGAATCTCTCACTCTCTCACTCTGCATTGCATTGCCTTGCCTTGCACGTGCATTGCCGATTAACGCCTCAGGTACAGTACCGCTGCCCGCCCGTGTGTTTACACCCTCAGGCTCTCTCCTCCACCCTCTTTTTTTACACTTTACAGTACCCCCTCTCCCCCCCCTTATCGCTCATCCACAACTTGTCTGCTTGCCTTTCCCCCTGGATTCTCTACCTTACACCTGACGCAGTTTATCTCTTTTGATCTGGTCAGAGACTCACCCGTAATCACTGCTCCTCTAGTCCAATCTCTTTCCCACGACTCTCGACCGGGATTTTCTCCGACCTCGTTTGAACCGCCCCGCTACTATTCGCACGTGCGGGGTTTCCCATCGATTCTTCGCGCGCTCGCTGGTCAGAGCCCACCCACCGCACACTACTTTTTAGATCCTAAGGCCAGGATAATCGGCCTTATCACCCGTCAAGATGAGTTGTACGTTGTCAGCCTCTTTCATGCTTGCTTTCTCATCGCCCATCCCCGTCCCACGAGACATGGTCCACGCCTCGTGGTAGCTTCGCTTGCCTTGAAGCGCTATCGCTGTTCCTTATCCTATCTCCTATCTTGCTGGTGGTGGTGTCTTGGAGCTGTCGGGCTTCACAACCTCCCCCATGAATGCCTCATTCCCAATCACCTTTCTCTGTGACCCCAGTGTCCGGGTTTGGGGTGGATTCCTCATTCTGATCTGCTTTCTTGGTCCGCCAATCTCGTGAGGCATTGTTGTTGTCTCCGTTTTCCTTATACCGTCCATCTGTCTTGCCTTGGGAGTGTGTGGCTCATGTGCATTGATCTGTCGCTTTTCTTTGCAAGCAAATGACTCGACCAGCATGCGCTAACCTTGGGAATTCTCGTTTAGTCTCTAATATGCTCAACAAGCTGTCTGGACAGCCGGAAAGCTACGAGAAGAAGTACGGTTCTCCCCCCTGCTTCATATCGTGTGGAAGGCGTACTAATAAGTGCTTTTGCTCTTTCGGTATAGATCCCACTACAAATTCGGAAGAACGCTCGGTGCTGGCACATATGGTATCGTCCGGGAGGCGGATAGCAGCAAAGGGAAAGTCGCGATCAAGATCATCCTGAAGAAGAATGTCCGAGGCAACGAGCGCATGGTCTACGATGAGCTGGAGATGCTCCAGGCTCTGAACCACCCCAACATCGTCCACTTTGTCGATTGGTTCGAATCAAAGGTCGGTCAACGCAGTGGCTCGCTCCGTCGTTGCTTTTCCCTCTAACAGCTCGATAGGACAAGTTCTACATCGTCACGCAACTGGCCACAGGTGGAGAGTTGTTCGATCGCATTTGCGAATACGGAAAGTTCACAGAGAAGGATGCGTCTCGAGTCATCCGGCAGGTGCTCGGTGCCGTACATTACCTGCACGAGCGAAACATTGTCCACAGAGGTGAGTGCGCTCCTGCCTCGCTTCCAGATTCTACGAAATTGCTCTGCGCAGAAAACTGATTTCCGAATGTGCGCATTAGATCTGAAGCCCGAGAACCTTCTATACCTCACCCGCGCCCCTGATTCCCCCTTGGTTCTGGCCGACTTCGGTATCGCCAAGATGTTGGATAGCCCCAGCGAAGTTCTCACCAGCATGGCGGGATCGTTCGGTTACGCTGCCCCGGAGGTGATGTTGAAGAAGGGCCACGGCAAGGCCGTCGACATGTGGTCCCTCGGAGTCATCACCTACACCCTCCTCTGCGGCTACTCGCCCTTCCGGTCCGAGAACCTGACCGACCTGATCGAGGAGTGCCGCTCGGGGCGGATCATCTTCCACGAGCGCTACTGGCGCGACGTCTCCCAGGACGCCAAGGACTTCATCCTCACGATGCTGCAGCCAGACCCCGCCAAGCGTGTCACGTCCGAGGACGCCCTGAAGCACCCCTGGCTGACCGGCGAGACCGCCAGCGACCGCGACCTGCTGCCCGAGATCCGCGCCTACATCGCCCGGTCGCGTCTGCGCCGCGGCATCGAGATCATCAAGCTGGCCAACCGCATCGAGTCCCTCAAGATGCAGGAGGACGACGACGAGGATATCCCCAGCGTCGTCGAGGTGGCGGCCGGCGAGGCCGACGCCGCGGCCCCCCACTCGACCGACCCGGCGGCCGCCTCCCCGAACGGCAAGTCCGCGCCTTCGTCCCCGGAAAGCGACGCCACGGGCCGCAAGAAGCGCAGCCTTAGCAAGGTCGCCCGCGGCGCGATCTTCCGGGAGGTTGTCCTTGCCAAGGTGCGCGAGGCGAAGGAGACCGAGGAGCGCGAACGCGTGGAGCGGGAGGCTCGCGAGAAGACCTCTCATGCTTGATTGGTGGTTGAGTCCTACGAAGTTTAGCGAAGTTTCCCGATAGAGAGGGGCAGAGAGGGGGTGAGATGTCTTTCCGACCCCTACTATCTGTGTGCCACTTTTTGCTTTGGGGGTGGGGGGCATTGGCTTCTATTCCTGTTTTTCTTTTGGACACCATGAACACACACCGTGGAGAATGCTCCTTCTGCATTTTTCTTTTCCTTTCAAATGATTCCCCGTCCATAGTTTCCTTGTCCTCTAGTGGGTTATGTCCACCTTTGTGAACGAGAATCTGATTTTGCATCTGGCTGGTTACATCGTACGGTTTGTAACGGAGTTAGAAGACAGTCATCGAATAGTATTAGTAGAGATATCGTGGTTCATTTCTTGGATTCACAGATGGAACAGAAGACGAGACAAGGCAAGACGAGGAAGCATTAGGCGAGGCAGTAAGATATGTGGATGTGGAAGTCCAAATGCTAGCGGAAGGATGGGAGGTGGGAGGTGGGAGGTGGGAGGTGGGAGGTGGGAGATGGGAGATGGGAGATGTGGGAGATTCGTGTGATTCCCAGCCTCAGCCTCAGCCAGCCAAGGGATTTCGAAACCAGAAACAAGAACAAGAAGAAAACTCCAGATACGCCCGCGCCAATAGACCCCCCATGCAGATGATAAACACAACAGACGACAGGCGTGAGAATAGAACCCAAGAACGAACCGCGGGAAAGAGATCACTCAAGTATGATACTTCACTCCTTCGGTCCCGCCTGTCAACCCTCTTCATTCAATCGCCCTCACCCCCAATTCCCCCTTTCCCCCCAATCCAGGCCCCCAGAACAGGAAGAGGAAGGGGCTATACATTATCATCATCATACATGAAATTGATATCCCTCGGCCGACGGCGGTTATACGAGACGAAATCCTTGTCGCCGGGGGGCCGCTCGTTGCGGCTGTTGGCGGTCAGCATGCTCTGGATGCTCATGCAGACGCTCTCGACCGTCTGCACGGGCGACCAGCCGGCCGAGCTGAGGAGGTCGAGGCAGATGATCCCGTTGCTGTAGATGTGCGGGTGAATGGGGATGGTGCGGCGGGGGTGGGTGGTTGCAGTCGCGTTATTCTCGTCGGCGGCGGCGGGGGTGGTGACGAATTGGACTTCGGGGGGTTCTATTGTTTTCCCCGGGGGGGCATTAGCGATGCGTATTCTCATATATCTATACAGGGGTATATGTGTAGATGTGAGGGTGTAGTGGTGTGAGTGGCAGGGGTCATGGGTGGGAGAGCAGCGCGGGGTTGGATTCAGATCGCGGGGCATCCATCACCCCTCTCTCTGTCTCTCTCTCTATCTTGTGGTAGTAGGGAGGTGGGGGAACGCACCAATTGGATATTTATTGCTGAAGGTGAACTTCAACCGGTAGGTTTCGTTCAGATACAGCGGGTTCTCGTCCAGCACTTTGATGTCCATGAGCCATTCTTCGAGGTTGTCGGATTTGACGATCGAGATGCCGGGCGGGAGGTGTTCTTTTATCTGTATAGTATGGCACGAACAGGCGCGGGGTGTTAGCTGGTGGGCTGGGTCTTTTTGAGGGGTGTGGTGTGTTATATGCTAGATGTCGAGAAGAAAAGAGCGAGGTTCTTGCGAATGGAAGCATAGCCCTTGATTGTTAAGGGACCCGTGGTAGGGAGAGGGGGAAAGGCAAAGTCAACTCATTCATACCTTGAGAAGCTCCTGCGACGGACGGTGTAACGTTAGCCGGGGAAATTTGTCTTCGCGGGGGAACATGAGGAGAGACACAAAAAAAAAAAAGAAAAAAGAAAAAAAAAAGAACATACCTTGCTTAACCGCTTTGTAGCGAACATCTTGCAAAATGGGATCTTGCACAGCACACACTCTCAGAAGATCAAAGGCATCAACTCCGGGTTCCCGCGGTGTTCAAGTATAAAAGCCGGTGGCCGTTGAGTGAGGCTCTGCGGAGTCGAGTCGTACGGTCAATTTGGAGATGACGTCTGGAACTTTATGGGTGGGGCAGATGCGAAACAGGAATGCAGTCTCGGAAAGAGTAAGAAGGTATATCTGCGAGCTGGGAGGGGGTGTTTTCTCTGGCAGAAAGGTTTATGCAAGATAAATTGTATGAAGCAAAGAAAGAGAGCGTCTGGTCTCGGGCGGCTCCCCCATAAGTAAGTATGGAATGGAAAGAGTAGCTCCGCCCGTCGATCAGCTGGAGATCTGCCCGAGGCCCCCCGTCACCTGATCTTGGTATCCCCACGTGATCGTCCTGTCGGCCGTATAGACAGGACGGACAGTACAGTAGTTACCACATGCAGTACAGTACATGATCAGGTCAACTTCTCTTCCCTCTTGACCAATTTAGGTCAGCTCACCCATGATACTAGGTCCTGTTACTCACTACCATGTTTCCAGTGTCAAAACTTGTCAAAAATTTTGAGGTCACTATACACAGGGTGATTTAAAGATATAAAAGGAAAACTCGAGACATGGTCACAGTGCAGCACGAGACAGAAAACATAGGAAATCAGAACAAACGGAGTCAACGCCATGAAAACCAATTGGTACAACTGATATATCACCACAGCTCCCTGCTCCCACACACTTCCCATACACGCACAAGTGATATAGACAATTAATCTTTTTTTCTCTCTTGGTCATTTGTATTCGCTTCTAAATAGCAAAAGAAAATAGTTGGGTGCCACATATCAGAATCACGTGTCTTGAAGCTGTTTTACAGGTCTTGGAAATACTCAGCCACGCTTTATCCAACTTCTACCGATCGACTTCACCGAACACAAGATCCATAGTACCTAAAGAACATTTAGCTGATTGTTTCCTTTCTGTGAGTGAAGAACGGGCAGAACATACCAATAATAGCGACAGCATCGGCCAACAAGTGACCACGAGATACTTGGTCGAAACCACCCAAGTGAGCAAATCCGGGAGCACGGATCTTGCAGCGGTAGGGTCTCTCGCTACCGTCACTGACCAGGAACACACCCATCTCGCCCTTGGGAGCCTCAATGGCGGAGTAGGTCTCTCCGGGGGGCACAGAGTAACCCTTGGTGAACAGCAGGAAGTGGTGGATCAGAGCCTCCATGTTCTCCTTCATGGCGGCACGAGGAGGAGGGGAGATCTTGTAGTCCTCGACACGGACGGGACCAGCGGGCATCTTGTTCAGACACTGGTGGATAATGCGGAGGGACTGGCGGAATTCTTCCATACGGCACAGGTAACGGTCGTAGCAGTCACCGTTGACACCAACGGGCACGTCGAACTCGACCTGGTCATAGGCATCGTAGGGCTGAGACTTGCGGATATCCCAGGGAACACCGGATCCACGCAGCATGACACCGGTGAAACTCATGTTCAGAGCCTCGGCGGCGCTGACGACACCGACACCCTGGGTTCTAGCCTTCCAGATACGGTTGTCCGTCAACAGCTCCTCGGTCTCGTCAATGCGGTCACCGAACTGGGTAGCCCACTGGTAGATATCGTCGAGAAGACCGATAGGGATGTCCTGGGACACACCACCGGGGCGGACGTAGGCAGCGTGAAGACGGGCACCCGAAACTCGCTCGTAGAATTCCTAGAATAAATAATCACAGATTAGCTCAATGGAGCTCAATTGACGCGGACAGCGCGGCTTACCATGAGCTTCTCACGCTCCTCGAAACCCCACAAGAAAGGCGTCAAAGCACCAACATCCATGGCGTGTGAAAGGACGGACATGAGGTGGTTCAGGATACGGGTGATTTCGCCGAACAAGGTACGGATCCACTTGGCTCTGTCGGGGATCTCAACGTTCAACAGCTTCTCAACAGCCAGGGAGAAGCACTGCTCGTTGGTCATCATGGAGACGTAATCCAATCGGTCGAAATACGGCAGGGCCTGCATGTAGGACTTGTACTCTATCAACTTCTCGGTACCACGGTGGAGCAATCCAACGTGGGGATCTGCGCGGACGATCTCTTCACCATTGAGCTCCAGAATCAACCGAAGCACACCGTGAGCAGCCGGGTGCTGGGGACCGAAGTTGACGGTGTAATGGCGGATCTTGCGATTAGCCCCTGTGTCCGTGGACTCCATGTCGGCGGCGTAATCGTCTTCGGAGGCACCTTCTTTGTTGGCGAAGGAGGAAAAGGTCGGGTCAGTCGGAATGAGCTTGGTCGCCTGGTAGCTGGTCGGCTCGGCCTGCCGGCGAGGCAGAGTCGTCGTGATCGAGCGGCATCTGGGGAGAGCAGTGTTTCTGGAGAAGGTAGAGGGGCGGAGGCAAAGCCTTTTGGGCGCATTGCCCGCCAGGCGAGCGAAGGGAGCAGCCATTCGGAAGAGCGGGGTAGAAAGGACGAGGGTGAGAAGAGGCGGAACAGCCCTCAGCCCAGACACAATGGAGGTGTTGGAAGGAGGGGTGGAGATGCGGGAATTGGGGATGTGGAATTGAGGCGGGCTCAGTGACGCCTTCTGGAGGTTGCGCTTTCCAATCGAGATACATTTTGGACCGTCACGTGAGGGGAGCTTTCTGGTCATCAGGCCGTCTCTGGTTGGTCTCCCGCTCGGCCCTTTATTGCTCAGCTCCCTAGTGCGGCCGACAGCCATTGCCGCTGGGTGCAGAATAGAGAGCCCTGCTCTGCTCCCCCTCCCGCTCTTCGCCGCCTTTGGCCCTGCAGAAAAATACTGCCGCTGCGGTCAAAGAACTTTTCTGAGAATCCGCTTCAAATTATTGTCCCTCCGTCACCTTCTTCAATTTCCCCCACTTTTCTCGCCCATCATGGCACCCCTCATCGCTTCGCAGGAGGAACTCCAACGTAGACGGGTATGCCTGGCTCTTCTGCTCTTGCTTCTAACAGCTTCTCCGACCCTTCGTACTAATTGCGCTCCCAGATTGTCGATATCAACCCCGAAACCGTCTCCAACTTCGCCTCGACAGATTTCCCCGGTCACTGGCCTGGCGAGTCGCACGAATGGAACCTGCAAAAATTCCGTGATGTATGTCCGTCCAGCTCAAACTCAAGTCCAGCTTCCTTCACTGCCAACCTGTTTCTTGCGCGCATGCGCTAACGTATCTTACTCTCGCACGACATAGAACTTCAATGTCGAGTTCCACCGGAACGAGCAATTCGAAGCTTCCTTCTCGCTGGTCGGCGTCGACGCCTCGATCGCCAATGCCTTCCGCCGCATCCTCATGGCCGAGGTGCCCAGCATCGCCATCGAATTCGTCTTCGTCCACAACAACACCTCCGTCATCCAGGACGAGGTGCTCGCGCAGCGGCTGGGTCTGATTCCCCTCAAGGGCTCCGTGGAGGGCATCAACTGGATGCGGTGGTTCAAGAAGCCCACCGAGGACGACCCGGAGGGCGGCAGCACCCCGAGCGACTTCAACACGATCGTCCTGCGCCTGGACGTCAAGTGTGAGAAGAACCCCCACGCCGCCGCCGGCGAGGACGACCCCCGCAAGCTCTACAAGCACGCCCACGTCTACGCCCGGGACATCACCTTCCACCCCGTCGGTCGGCAGGAGCAGTTCTTCGTGGGCGACGACGCCATCCAGCCCGTCAACCCGGACATCCTCATCGCCAAGCTGCGCCCCGGCCAGAAGATCGACATGGAGCTGCACGTCATCAAGGGCATCGGCGCCGACCACGCCAAGTTCTCCCCCGTCGCGACCGCCTCCTACCGTCTCCTGCCCGACATCAAGATCCTGCGCCCCATCGTCGGCGAGGACGCGCGCAAGTTCGTCAAGTGCTTCCCCGCTGGGGTCATCGGCCTGGAGCAGGTCACCCGGGAGGAGGCGTCGCAGAAGGGAAGCGGCTACGAGGGTCACGAGGGCGAGATGAAGGCCGTCGTGCGCGATGCCTTCAAGGACACCGTCAGCCGCGAGTGTCTCCGACACGAAGAGTTCCAGGGCAAGGTGAAGCTCGGTCGCGTTCGTGATCACTTCATCTTCAACGTGGAGAGCGTTGGCCAGGCCGACAGCGACGTGCTGTTCTTGGAGAGCGTGAAGGTGCTGAAGCTGAAATGCGCGAGATGGAAGCGGGGCCTCGTTGACCTTGCGCGCTAAATTCGGTTTTCCTCCCCGCACCTAAAATGATTTGAAGCTATATAATGCATTGGCCAGGCGTTGGATTCCTATTTGTTTTTGTTGTCCTGTGCTTTCTTATTTCTGCGTTTGTACATTTTACGGACAAAAGTTGGTCCACACAAACCTTCTTTACAACTTGTCGGGAGTCCGGACAGGGAAACAACTTTTGAAATAGAAAAAGCAGATTTGACTCTTACTAATTGCTTGACATGGCTCATCGTAGGAGAATCGTGTATTCTTCGTAAACTAGTGTGCATTTGCACTATATAAATTCCGGTACCCGCAGCATATGGTGTGGCTCTTCCTTAGCTGAAATCCAGCCTGTACCGGAAGTCGATGGTATAGGCGGGGTCACTGACTGCGATCTCCTGGCCATCGGCGATCAGATCGCTGAGCTTGAGCTTCAAATTGGGCCGGGTCTGCTCCTCCAACTGCGGCGGGAACCGCTGGTAGAGGGTCTTCTCCTCCGTGCGCATGCTGGGCTTCTTCAGCTGGGCCTCGGGTCGCTCGCCCAGCGCCTCGATAAAGGCCTCCAGCGTCATGTTCGGGTCCACGGTCATCGCGCGCGCGAGGTTGCCGCAGACGGGGCAGTCGGGTTTCTTCTCCGCCTCGAAGGTGTACGTGTAGACGCCCTCCTCGCCGGCGTACATCATGTAGTTCTCCAAGTACGGGTTGCACGAGGTGGCGATCTTCAGGGCCTCGGAGGTGGTGGCGGCGGCGATGACGGCGTTGGTCGAGGCGATGGCCGGGATGATGTTCTTCACGACGCCCTGGGTCATCTGGAAGGTGACCCCAGGGATCTGGAACTGGCGGGCCCGCTCCAGCGCCGCGTTGTAGATCCAGCCGATGTGCTCCAGGTCGTCGCTGTCGAACGTGTCGTCCTTGCGCTGTTCCTGCCAGGCGATCTGGTGGGCCCATTCGATGCAGTGCTGGGGCTGGCGCGGGATGGTGGCGATGGTGCAGAGCGGCACCGCCGGTCGGGGCGCGTGCATGTCCAGCTGGCACTCGATGCAGGAGGAGAGCGTCGGCAGAATCACACGAGCTTGACCCTTGAACCCTGTTTTCCTGGAAATGAGCCTCCGTTGGGTGTCTTTGGGGGGAAATGAAGGGACGCAAGTTACCTTCGGTTCCGCCATCGATGAGGGGCTTCAAGCTCTCCGGGTTCTCGAAGTCAACCATGCCGACCAGTGTCGAGTTGATCCAACGTCGGGCTTCGATGCTGTCAAGGCCGCAAACAACGATCTTGAATTGCATGTAGTAGTCTTCGTCTTTGTCTTGGATCTTGCCGACATAGGGGGTGATCTTCACGCCTTTGACACGTTTCTCCACAAAGGCAGCCGCAATCTCGGCTTTAGGTTTGCCGATATCAGATTGACGGAACAAGAACTGACGGTTGAGGTTGGAGATGTCGATTGTGTCTGTCTTGGTGAATTAGTTGGTGGTAAACTCGAGCGCAGGGATGAAGAGCAACTTGCCCATGTCGATGACGTGAATGTCTTTAAAGCCTGATAAGGCCAGGTTCTTCAGGATTTCACATCCCAGGCCTCCAGCACCTCTATGGACGGTCCCGGTCAGCTCTTAATAAGTCGCTGATGATTCTTTTTGAGCTTACATGACCCTATTCCCTATCAGTGAAAAGCGCGGTTGAGACAATCACCGATACTTACAAGATCTTGGATGATTCTAGAGTGCTTATCGTCTCTGGTCCAGGAACCCAGTCCTCATCACTGAATGGGCCCGACCTCGTCAAGACATTATACAAGTGCTTCCTGGACGGGTTCAGCATCTGTGCTCGTAATTCGCCGGGCCAGAAAACTGTACCATCGGAGCTTTTGGTCTATGGCGACCATTTTGGTGGGATGGAATTATAAGAAAAAGCTAAGAAATTCCCACCGGAATTGCTGATACTCCAGGTTTCTGGGGCGCGTGTATCTCACCCGGTACAGCCGAGATACAACAGTTCTGTCGCTTTCCAACCGCTGGATTGAATGCAAACTGAATGGTATAGCCGGCCAAGATTTCAGATTCTCCGACCTTCTGTATCTGCGGGTGTAATGCAGCGGATGATAAGACCACAAGAAGTTCGCTGGTGACGAGGGGCAAAGCAAGTTGGAGTTGAATCCTCGATCGTTCGAGGGACCGGATTCCGAATACAAAACACCCGCCTCACGTGACATGACATCCCATACAAACTCCTTCCACCTGAGGTAATTTTGCTCGTCTACACCACGAACCGAATCGACGGTTTCATCCACTTATGACATGGACAGACTTCTCACAGTCGTGAAGACGGTTACGCCGGATCGAGAGACACTCATCTCAGCCGCTGCCGAGTCGTCGTCGCCTGATGTCACCCCCGAGAAGCGGATTGTCTCCGAACTCAATCGGGACGTCTCGTCACCTGAGGATATACTAGCGGTTTTGAAGTCGAAGCCCGACCAGGACCAACTCGCTCACGCCCTGGCAGTCCTTGACCCGGCAATTAAGACAGCGACAGTGAAAGACTTTGACATACGGGTCCCAGGTCCCAAAACAGCGCAGATCCTCAATGTCTTGATCACCGTTACTCTTCCGGATCATTGGGATGCCGTCCATGCGGAATCCCGAAGATCAAAATCGAGCTCCAAACTACGTGCGGCCTTATTAAGATGCCTCAGTAGCGTTGCAGGTATTAGTTGCTTGTTGGCCCAGCTTCGCTCTCTCATCACCGCCTGTCGGTCATCTGCTCAGGAAGCGAGTGCATCGGGCCATCAGCTCCAGGCTAGAGGCATCCTGTCAGTGACCTGTGCACTGCTGGAGCCCAATGATCTGATGTACCGTCTGTATACCGATATCGAAGGTCTCTATAGTAATCCAGCTCAGAAACAAGCGGCATGGAGGGAATTGCTCTCCCACGTTGCTGCTAGTAGGATCCTCTCGACAGCCGCAGAGGCGATATCACTGATTAAAGACCTTGATGGGGTCAGCTCTTTGTCGTGGGTGGGAGAAGGGCCCAAGTATGCCTCCTGGCTCGGCACAAACATATGTCACATGGCTTCAAAGTTGCCTCTCGATAATGAGGAGGCTTGGAAAGCCATGGCTACTTTGACCGGACGCTCGTTGAGTCTTGGGTACACTGGTAAGATGCGCTGCTCCGACATTATCTTCGGTGTTAACGTGGACTCTAGACCATATGGTGCGGGAGATCTATCTGGGGCTTCTTGTAAACGAAGCAAACTACCAGCAGTATTATACTCTTTTCGACCATCTGCGACCGAATGAGCAAATCGCAATCATAGAAGCCATATTCAGAGACATTGAGAAGAAGCATTTTTCATCAATCATCCCTGACGAGACACAGAGTGTTCCGCAAGAAGTTCTTAGCGCTGCTGCAGCCTTATGCTCCCTTGTCACGAAGGATAGGCCGCAAGTACAAGCACAGATTATTGATTGGCTGTCGAAAGGCCAGGGCGGCTCCATACATACTATCGAGCTACGCCGTGCACTGCTGGCAAGCTTCGCCCATACGACAGGTGAGAGAGATAAGGAAACATGTCACTAGCTTGTGTACTGACTGGCATATGTTCTCGAGATTTGATGGTCTCTTTGGTCACTAAGAGCCTTGATCAGTCCGGAGACAAGCTCTACATTCAACATGCCCCAATCAGAAGTCAAGAGGGTACTGTGTCCCTGAACCCCCAGTCCAGTCTCTGACTGACATATCTCAGCAAACACCCAAGTTATCCTTCTGACTTGCGGATATCTTCAACAAACTGACCCGCTGGAGGTGATGCGTGTGGGTCGGTCGGGGATATTCCTTAATACAGTATCAAATCGCCTGGCAGCCTCTTCTGGGCGAGCGCGCTTTCTTGGGATGCTCATTGGTACAGCGATATCGCAACTGATCGAGCCAGCCGGCAAGGGCATGAAGTTTGACCTTGAAGAGATGGAAGGCGATGAGGCAAAGTGGTATTTGAGTTTGCTCAATCTGCAGGACAATGCAGGGTCCCCCAACTCGATCAAAATTCTCAAGGGGTCGACACCGTCAACACAACGAACGCCTTCACAGAAAGTTCCTGCCACCAAGGGGGTAGATACCTCGAAGAAAGGCAACACAAGGACGGCCAAGATTGTTGCGATCGAAGAGATCGAGGACTCCGAAGAAGAATCCGAGGATGATGACCTTGTTCCTTACGAGAAACCCGACGAGGATTTCTCCGATGACGACGAAGATCCGACACTGGTTCAGCGGAATAAGCCCACAGCACCTGTGTAAGCTCATAAAGCGAGTCCTCACCCACAACACAACTAATTTGATTTTAGATACATTGGCGATCTTATCACCTACTTACGGGACACCGAGAATGTCGAACGCTTTGAATTGGCCGTCTCCACCGCCCCTTCCCTGATACGACGCAAGACTGGATTTGGTACCGAGCTTGCTGAGAATATCGAAGAGCTTGCTCTTGTGGTGGTAAGCCTGCAGGAACAGGGGAAGCTTCCTAAGTTCCACGAGTACCAGCTCCAAAGCATGATTGCGTTGATCGTCTCTCAGCCACTGAAGATGGGTCACTGGTTCGCAGCGCTATTCTTCGACGGAGACCTTTCTCAACCGCAGCGCTCTGCTGTACTGACCGCACTCGGCCTAAGTGCTCGCGAACTAGCTGGTAACGGCGAAGCCGATGCCAAAACTCTTGGTCTTCCAGCCCTGCCAGATGCCTCTTTTCCGTCGAAGAAGCTACCAAGTAGCCTGGAAGCCTTCTACTCGACAGAGTCACCCATCGCAGGCCTGACCAGGTCACTGGCGCAAGCTTCTCTGGAGCCGCTTGCAGCTCATGCGGAAGACTCACTGTCTGGACCCAACGCCCTCAAGGTGCGCACGTTTTCTTCGCGCATGGAGGTCGAAAAAAGGCGTCAGCAACGTGAAGCGCAGCGGCAGAAGTCGACTGTCAAGGATCTGTACAAGGTGTTGGCACAAGGGTTCTTCTATCCCCTCAAGGGACGTTTCGAAATGATGATGATGCAGTTCGGCTCGTAAGCCTTCCCCCATGTCTAGCCTGGCACCTGAGAGCACACTAACTTCTTTCCTCTGGTTGCTAGATCCACCGCTCCCTCGTACAATCCCTTCTACGTGCCGCATTTGCTGTGCCTGTTCATCCAAACACTGACCCTCGTCCTCTCAACCATGGGCCCCAACACACCGTACCTGCCCAACCTGACGGGAGAAACCCTGTCATTCTTGCTCTCGCTCCACGGCCGCCCGCTCGCCGAAGACCCAAGCATCCTCTCCGCCCTCCTCTCACTTTTCCTGGCCGTAGTCGACCTGAACGTCGCCTCCGGCACGACCGGCGAAGAGCGGCTGGTCACCGAGTTTGCGACCCAGGTCGTGGAGCTCCGCGACTGGGTCGGGGAGGTTTTCGACCGGACGCCCGCCGTGCAAGACACGAGCGATCCGCGCGAGCAGGTGCGGACGTTGGCTGCGGGCGTGATGGTGAAGCTGGGGGAGGTTATGGAGAGATACCAGGGGCGGTTGATGGGCGTGAACTCGGGATTCAGATATTAGCTTTAGCTTTGTTCGGCGAATAGCGCAGAAATGCTGATCTGGTGATTCTCTTCCGCATTCAGCTCTAGCCCCAGTGACATACATCCCAGGCCATCATCGCACCTACATACCGGACTGGACTGTACATGATACTTATTTCCGCACGTGCAGTGTACTGTACACATGCCCCGTCCACATCATAGACCTTCGTCCCTTCCCCCCTCCATCCCTCCCTCCTCCTCCTCCTCCTCCTCC